TTCCAAGCTAGAATAATATCATTTCAACATTTGACTCAAACAATTTGCCGCAGTGTACGAATAAAGCTTCAGTTGCTCCTTTATAGGATTTTCGCTCAGTGTGTTTGATAAGGTGCTTGCTGTGGCTTTTTAACCGACCTGCTAATCATTTGGAAAATTTGAAGTGTGCTGATTATGTTAAACTTACAGTAGTTTTTACCTTGTTTGTTATTCTGGGAAAAGTGGTTCATTAAGTCTTTATGTGAGTCCTTAAGGAGGGTTATAAGACAAAAAAAATAGTTGAGCAATGAACAACCTGGGGTTATTACGTGGAACCGGACCGGGGAACCGGAGGAAGTCATTAATTGTACGGACAATTTAGGCTGAAGGTGTACAATTAATGTAACCTGATCAGTTTGAGAGAAGTGTGGGTGGAACGTTTAGCAGAATTTTACACCAATACAAAAATACCCAAAATTTCATTTTTACCCACCCTCGCCCTTCTCAAAAAGAAGCATGCAGAATCTTACATTGATACAAAACCCAACATTTCATTTACACCCACCCTCCCCCTCCTAATGAAAAAGAAGCATCGTGACTACGTGAAGTGAATTATAATGATCTGTAATAATTTAATTCATTATATGTTCGAGGCGTCTAGCACGTTTTTCAACAATAAAAGGTACTATTTACAAGGTTATTGCCGCACCTTTTTTGTTAAACTATAAAGAAGGTGTGACGTAAGAAACCCAAGATCAACTAACCAACTGACTCAATAACCGGCACGGAAGGTTATACAGTCGAACCCCGGCTTGGACTCCCGCTAAATACGGACACCTCTCGTTATTACGGACAGTTCGCTTTGTCCCTGGGGAAAGGGCTAGAAAGTTCTTACATTTTCTCAAAATTCGACCCGCTTAATGTTAATACGCCACTTTCTATATGTTTCTATGGCCCCATCAGTTTCCGTGTTAACGAGGTTTGACTTTACTTGCATGTCGCCTTGTTCCTCTGGCCAATGATTCTAAGACCAATTATGGTGGACTTTAGAGTGAAATCAAAACATGAACACACTTGAGTGCACTTGTAAATTTCTCACGCACTCACGCGACAACTCATGATTTCCTCATTCAAAAACACGTAGCAAACTTAAAAGATAAATTCAGTTCTAATTCACAGAAAAATCTCCGTAGTCTGAGCTGTTACATCAATTAATGATGACTCAACTCGAGCCGAAGTACTGTTACAGAATTGAGATTGAGGATACAAATACTCTTCAACGTGGGTAGGAACGTAACATTTTAGTACACTATGATGAATTTCAAATAGGCCTTTACACAAATATCACGTAAAATCGCCTAAACATCTTTCCGGAAATTCTCCAAAAAATGTCTAAATATCCCAAAAAATTTTTCTAAATATCTCGAAAAATCCTCTAAATGTCTCTAAATATCTCGTATCTTTGTTTTAAAAATAAACCGATTTTGAATCCCTTAGGCCAAAATTTTCCCCAGCGGGAGCTGAAAAGTATATGTCAGAGATTGTCTACACTGGTATTATGGAAATAAAATAAAGTTCAGGCTCATTGTTTCCAGCATCCGCCATTTTGACAAATGTCTGTTAGTGATATGGAATCATACATTATTCAAGTGGGAAACCGCTAAACTGGATTATTTCTAGCATAGAATGATAGAACCGAGTATTCTGTCAAGAAAATAGCGAGGAAAAGCTGGAAAACAGCCAGAAAAAGCCATAAATTTTTCTAAATATCCCCAAATTTTCGGAAGATCTTAAAATTTTCTAAAATTATTTAAATATCTCGAAAACTTCTAAATATCTCAAAACATTTCCGGATATTTGTGTAAAGGCCTAATTTCAAAAGGTGGGGATGGAACACTGGAGTTTTAAATTGCGTTTTTTAAGCCATTTTTGTGTATCCGTTTTTCAGCTTATGCTTCTTGAAATTGTGGTTTTCGGAATTTCGTCTCGTGAATGCATTTGGTTTACCAGGTTTACGTCTGCATAAAATTAAAAGAAAAAGGGTGAGGTAGTTTTTCCGGTTTCCAAATATTTGCTTCTGTTAGTGTAGCGTTTTATCTATTAGTGAAAAGATGCAACGGCAGTCTGCAAAGTTTTAAAACAGTAATAAGGTAGTCAGTGTCGTTGTATGGTTTTGATCTGAGATTTCTTGATCAACATTTCACGGACTGATACGATATTGTAGTCTTTTCTTTGAGAGGATCAAAGCTAATAAAATAAGACACACGCATACATTCTATACGCGTGAAACAATACTGAGAAAAAGAATTAATTATGTTTAAAAGGAAGTGATTTTTAAGACATTTGACTCGAAAAACTGCGGTAAGATTTTACTCAGAAGTTTTACAAAGTAAAACTGAAACGTCGTTAAAAACACGACGACGTTTCGACTTTCTCTTAAGTCTGATTATCAATTCAAGAAGAACATACTTGTTCTGCTATAAGTACAAGAAAAAAGAATAGATCATTAAAAGGGAAAGTATCATATAAAAATATGTCTAAAATATGATACAAGTTAAACGAAGAGTTTGGCACTCTCTTGATCAGCAACATCTCGTAAACGAGGCAATCAATTCCCTGGCACTTTCCCAAAACGCCCACTTGGATCTTACTCAAAAGATTTTTGCCGACCATGAGCTTTCAAAGAAAAAATGTTCAACATTTATGTTTAGTAACAATAAAATAAAAAATCGAATTGCAATCAACAGCAAAGGAATAAGGCGGGCTACGCGTCCAAGCTTTTTAAACCCACTTAAAAGTCGTACCTTCTTGGCATTTTTCATACATCATCAGAAGCAATGTCAAGAGTCAAGGTCGGTAAATTAATTCTGACAAGTTAAGCTTACTCTTGTACCCAGTCAGCTTTTATTTGCTAAAGATGCTTTTAAAATAGTATATGCTCTTTTTTAACTTTATGCTTACTTCAGGAGAGTATGTTTTCACCTTAGCCATAAAAATGTACAGTAGTATGAGTTTTTTCGGTCAGAGCTCCGAACCAATGACTCATGTGCTTGATTATAATTTTGTATCTTCTGATGTGTGTGTAACTCGTTTACAAGCTGTTACGTTCCTGTGCCGAGAGAAACAAAGTTTTTGAAGTCGGATCGAGTCCAAATGGAGCTGTCACTCCAAGCGTTGGGAAATGTAATTAGTTTCCCATTTGCACATGATGGTAGGCCAAAATCTTAAGGTACGGAAAAACGAGCAACAAAAAAAATGAAAATTGTCTTGTAACATTGCTGAAAAATGAGCTGAATAGCTACTCGGTACCAGTCAGTTGTTAACAGTTTTGATTCGTGGGTGGTAAAGCGGGCAACATCGCTTTTCAACTTCTTTTGCAGCAATGTCGCAAAACAAGTCGCATGTTTTTGTTGCCCGTTTTAACGAAGCTTCAGTTTGAGTAAAAATCCTAAATTGGATTTTGTCCAATATCACTGAGAAAGGACTATAGTAAAGGTTTCCGGGATTTAACAGCTACGTTAAGTTTGCATTTCGTTTTCAGACTCCCCCGGATTGCAATTGATTCGACAGTTTATATAAATTTTTGCCTCAGCAGTACAGAATCCCTTTCGACTTATAAAGGCTTAACTAAAACTCCACAACTTCCCTACAAGCTGTTTTTAAGTTGACTAGATTTACATGCCTTGCTGGAGAGGGAAAGAATAAACATATTAAATGATGTTTCATTCGCGACTCTTTAATTTCACGGCATGCATAATCTTAGTAGAGTATTCAGAGTAACTGAATATCGCTTAAGAATTATTATTATTATTACTATTATTATTATTTATAGCGAGTGCGAAAACTTCATTTTTTTTTATTAACATTTAATGAATCTAGACTTGAAATAAGAATTAAAGATAATAATGAACCTTTTTATATGCCACTACCATTATTGGCCGGCCATAGAGTGACTTCATCCGGCCATCAGTGGCGTATTCCATGCTGCTTTTTGCTCGGTTAAGAAACCCCCGCAGCGGACGCCCGCCAGTGTACGTCAATGATCGTCAATCGATCTGTGAATGAGTGGGCTTACAGCAAAAGAGACTTCTGCCGAGTATAAAAATCAATTCTGTGCGGAATCAAACCACTATCCTGGGACGAAAAGCAACTCTTTAAATTGTAACAGCTCTGTATGATTTTCATGTTCTTTTCCAAGTCGTGCGAGTCCACACCATGAACGCTACCCGTACAAAAGCCGAGAGAAGGTACGTAAAATAGTCTTAGCAGAAATCGATCGTAGATACACTGGGGTCAAGCGTTATCAGCACAATATAACAGGTGCTTTTTAAAAGGGTGAAAGCCACAATTTTAGAGACTGATTTTATCATAAAGAGTATTTCATGAATGATGATCGATAAAAAGTGGTTTTCCTGTTGTACTGAGATCCTGTGACCACTACATGTTTCTGATACGCCGTATTCAGCCTTTGTTAAGGTGCATGAATCAATATAGTTATCTATGAAAACAATGCAACTTTAAATAATCAAAACAAAATACAACTATTACTGTCTTTTCTGGCGCCTCGTCGCGGAAACAATCAGTTACAATAACCTTACAGTTGGCGAAAGTAAGGTTTTCTTTATATCAGAACATTAAGGCAAGATTGTTCTAATTTCAGGGTAAGCTAAGGTGAACCACGCCGCTTTATAATATAATTTAGGCCTTAATTTGTTTTCACTCTGTAATTTTGCGCAAGTGGGAAGTTGACCATGAAGGCTATTACAGTGTGATTATTGCACAAAAAGCTACACAAAGAATTATAGCTCATAGTTACCACACTGTTAAATCCTAAATCAATTTTTTTTCAGATAAAGCATTTTTCGGAAGCAATCTTTTAGCAATTGTATTGTAAGAGGAGTGTAAAGAGAAAACAGCACAAAAGATAGGCCTCCGTGACTCACCCTCTCTCTCCTAGAAAGAAAATGTGTTACACTACCCTACTAAGTAACAATCGGCCCCACACGTCATTTTCTGGTGCCAAAAAATATCCCTCACGCTCAGTGCGTCGCTTGTTGAAGATTTTCGTTTCGTTGGATTCCCATTGAGAAGTTCAAGTGAAATGCTTTTCCTAGATTATTTGAGGTAATTTATGTAATTTAACAAGCATATTTGATAGACGAACTGGCTCCTTTCATCCGGAAAAGCGGTGCAGGAAATATTTACATACTGTCTTTAGGTTAATGCGAGTTTCGACGGACCTGTAAATGTCAACTTCTTTCACTTTTAAATTTTTGCCAAGAAATGGTGGCCGTCTCTCTTACAAATATCACAAAACTGTGACTTCGCGTGATGGTTTTTAATGGCACCTATTCTTATATCACGCAAATAGCAGGCGTCCTTATGTAAAAAGTTAAACCGTCCGTGAATAACACAGTACACGCAATTAGTCTTGGCGGTTTTTTCTGTCAGACCAAATTTCTATTAAACGCCTTTATATATCAGGGCGCTTTCAAACCAAATAGCTCTGAAAAAAGAGTAGTAGCTGGCTCACCTAATAACAAAAAGCTAAGGTAAGCTCAAACTGTTTAAGTTTTACTGGACTGGTCAATGTTTGCCGTTGTATCCTTGCCGAGCAGAGGAAAGTGCATGCTGCTGTTTGCCAAGTCTTAATTCGTAGTCTGTTTTTCAAACGATACTTTCACTGACATTTTCTTGACATGTTGCAACACTTTAAGGATGTAATAATTTGGTTGAAGCTTTTTTTATAAGCCAATCGATCTTTCCCGAGTAATAATTTGAAATGTAAAAATCGAGAAGTAAAATTGAATTCCATTCATGTGCCATGTAAGCTTCTCACGATTATGGGAAATAATACGAGGCTGAGCTTCAAGTATGTTCACCTCTTTACGCAATTCTTGAACATCCCTCTTCCAAGTCGTGTTATTTCGCCCGGCATGATACGCTTGGTGAAGACTGAACAAAGGTGAATTTTAGAGCTGGGTTGATGGTAATTAACAAATGTTTTTTTTTTTTCAAGGGATAATTTTGGTTTAAAATTCAGCAAAAGATTCCACGTACATCATTCAAGAAGCATTTAACTTGTGTAAAGAGTTTCGGCACAACTTTCCCTCTCCAAACCAACACAGTACCGTTAGTAACACATGATTGGTTACGGCTATGCATGCACCTGTTAACCATGTAGGCCACAATATCCACAAACAAATTCTCCCAACTAATATCCATTCATTTCATCAAAGAATTAGTTAAGAGGAATTTGTTTGAGGATTGAAGCGTTTCATCTAGGTGATCATTTCATTAATTCTTATAACTTTTTCTCTTGATTACGCATTAATATTGTTAGGAGAAAATTGATGTTGGTCACTCTTTGGAGTTAAAAGGTTAAGGGTCCAAGCTCACTGTTAAAACTCTATGTGTTATTATACAAGATTATGGAGCTGAAGATGCAAAGATTCTCTCAAGACATTTAATTAATATTATCAAAATAAAAACTCAAAGTACAGTGTACAGACTAAAAATAATTTGTTCATGGAAATTGCCTCTGTCAGTGAGACAAGTGAATTCAGACGTAAAAGCTATTAGTTTCAGTCTGTTTCACATACCAGTAATGTGACTATATTTTTTTTGTATGTGGCACCTGATAATTACGTAATCGCTCATAAAGAACTTACCGTACTTAAATTGTCTTCAATTTCTTGAGACTTCTTTGATTATCTTAAAATTGCCTGCTGGAAATATGTTCCTTCCAATTTCATACAGGTTACATTTCATCCAAAATCCTAAGAGAACATGGAATAATTACTTGAAGCTAAATTTAATTAATGATTTATTACATAGCTACCTTGGGGTCAATTTTGTCGCTCAGCCATGCAATTCTAAATAAATATCCAGTTTGAAATGTGTTAATTTTAATGGTATTTGAACTGTTTAAGCTACTAAAAATGAAACTACTGATTCAGAACTGATATATCTACTGATCATTGATGTCAAGAAAACTGATCAACTCTTGCAAGTTTTATTTAGAGTATAAGGTATGCTCAGTGTAACAAATAGTAGTGTATTGACAAGATAAAATCTGTTGCTGATGTTTTTCCTGTAGTTTTTTGAGCTTATGTTAATTTAAATGCAGTATCTGTCAGAGCTTGTTCTATGCCTCAGGGGTAATTTCTTTAAATGCAGAAAGTTGTGTACAGACAGAATTCACGATGAATGTGCAACAACTTTAATAGGTTTTGAATGGTTAGTCATTGATGGGGCTATCCATCTTTTGAACAACCGGGCCAGAATAGCATTGCCCACCCTTGTGAATAGCATTGCACACCCTTTGAACAACTGGGGACTGGGACCAGATTGTTAAGAAAATGGAAAAATTGTTTTGCACATTACCAGGACATAAGTTTAGTCACTACATAGTATTACATAATAACAAAATTTACAAATTGTTGTTTTCGTCATAGTCACAATGGTTTAAACATGCAAAACAAGAATGATCATGCAACAATTTTAAATCGTGGTTATTATAGATGAGTTTACATGTACATGTATATCGGCGGGTGACCACCATTAGGGTATCCTATCGCATGTAAAGTGTAGCTTGTGTAGCAGGCGCTTGGAAGTAATGGGTGGAGGAAAGAGCAGGGTGCATGAGGGGAGAGGGGGTGCCTGCCCAAGAGACCCATGAAAATTGTTTCCTGCCCCCTATCCAATTACCTGGCAGCCACTGCATAATCTGTCAAAAATTTTGACAGAAAATGATTGACCTCACACAAACAAAGCATGCCAAAGCGTTGTACATTTATATCCTTGGTCTATCTGTTATAAAGATCAGTTAGGTTATCTGATTATAGAGTGATGGAGCAATAAACCAACGATAAACACACAGTATTAAATCATTTTAAACCAAGGGCATGATAAATACGAAAAAACAGAGTGAAAAATGGATATTGTTTAACAAATGCATGCTGTATTTTAAAAAGCTAAATCTTGTTCTCTGAGACTACAAAATCACAACTGTACAGACACCGAACTACAGCTTACATGGAAAATGACCATTGCTTTTGCTGTTTTGGGAGCAGGCTTGTCTTACTAAACAAGCCTAAAATTGAGAACACAAACTGTACTGAGACGTTTCTACAGGCTGCAATAACGAGGCATTAACATCATACGCCAGGTTGTCTTTGAACAAATCATAACAATAGGCTACTTGCACAAAGAGGTCACGTGACCAATGCTTCCTTTAAACAATGAGTTGGAATCTTGCTGATGCCAAAAATTGACAGAGCACATAGAATTTATCTTACACCAGAAATTTGAGAGGAAATGCGATTAAAAGAGATATTTTATGGCACTTTGATTTTTAGTAGTAGTATGATTTGTATTGGCTGCCATGTTGTAGGACATACTCGTGCCTTCCAACGTGGCAGCCAAAACTACTTTTTGCTTATATCTTGTTAAATGTTTGATAGTTTCTCTCAGATGTGCTGTAAACATTACTACATCATCTTTTCAACATTTTCCTTGAAGTTTAAGTGCAAAATTTGTGTTCAGAAAGAGGTAATTCATAATTTTGAAAATCACATTTTGGTCATGTGACTAGCTACAAACTTACTCATTTTAAGAAAATGGCGTGGGTTTGAAAAACCAAATTACTATTATTTTGTTGAAGATAGAACCCACCAATCGTTTTTCGAAGGAAAAATCATAACTTTTGTTTTCAAAAAAACAATGTCACATGACCTCTTAGTACAATGGCCTATAGCGAAAGTTTTTCAAATTCATGCCCCTCAGTGGAAAGTGTTTCATTTCATTAATCCTGTCTAGGTCTTGATGGTATGTGTTCCATCAACAGTGGAAGCCCCCAAGTTATTTTTGAACAAAGAATCTTTCCTCTGATCCTCATTTCAACGATTCAACAAATCTTTTGTCTGTCGCCGCTTCTGCTAATGCATATTTGATGTCAAATCACTCCTTTGTGAGTACTGTTTGAACACTCCATCTGTTCTTTTAGATTACAGCCACAAAGTCCCACTGAAGTGACCTCCAAGATCTGAAGTTCAATTATACCATTTAGTGATGTAACAAAAGAACTTCACTGCCTTGTCTGTCCATCTACTACATGTGTACAAAATAATGATCTCGTGTTTTCTTTGATTGACAGTTTTCTCGCCTAATGCAAACACTTATCCCCTCAGGAGCCTCTAAACCAGTAGGACTTCCACACTCTCAGAAAGCAATTTTCATGGGCCTCTCAGGCGGGCACTCCCTCTCTCCTCGCGTGTCTCCCTTGCATGCCCCATTCTTTCTTGCGCCTGTTACTTTCTATATAAAGTGCATATATATACTACTAGATAACTTATGCATCTGTTTTTTCGACAGTGTTGCCAAGGGCTGCTTTGAACTACGCAAGATCTAATTTGTTCTTGAAAATGATACCTGCAGTGTTAGCCTCAGCGATACCTGAAGACAGCTCTGTAACACACAGATCATGCAAGAGTAGCTCAACATCACCAAGGTTTTGCTGGGTCAAACCCAGTAAAATGTTTTACTGCAAGATCTGTTTGTCAGAGTGTCATATCAAGAAAGGTCAAACATTGGAGAAGTGCACTTGCACATTCTGTAAAGAGGTTTGTAAAAACACTGCACAGTTTTAATATTATTAGCATGACTATACTACAATCTTTGCATGACCCTCTCAGTGATTTTTACTGATTTCCTTTAGTTTCATTTAATGGGCCATGAATATTCTGGCACAGCTCAGGTCTTTTATCAATTTATGATTTTTTATAGGATTTTGAGTGTCAAACATTCACAAATTAACCCCCAATAGCTACCTAAAGTAAACTTCCCAAAATGTTTTTGATAGAATTTGCTGAAAAAATTGTTTTTTCTGTCTATGCTAACCCTGTGTCTTCTTGGGCCAAATTAGTCACTCTGATCCAATGCAAGAAAGAAGGTTCATGAGCAAAAAACATCTTAAGATTAAGGGAGCTGGTAACTATTATTTCAAAACAATAGGTTATTGTTCCAGTTCAAAAGTTAAGAGCCCTCTTATCTTAAGAAGGTTTTATGCAACCTGGCCCTGACCCCCAACATTAAATGTCCATTTTTCTCTATTAGAACAGCCTTCAAAATATTACAATATTCCATGATACTAAAAAGGTCTTTGCTCCTCCCTGTCACACTGACTATAAAAGCTTTAATTGTTACTCTTACCAAGCATTAAAAAAGAATTATTTTATTTGCAGTGCCTGGAGCAGTATGTCTTGTTTTCAATTAGCAATGGAAATGTTCTCAAGTTACCTTGCCCAGATGCTCTTTGCCGCAAAAGTGGCCAGTTAACGTCCAATGAGGTCAGTAAGCGGGGGTTAGCAGAGTTGTCATTTCATTTATTAGTACATTTTATTTTTTGATGAGTCAGCTGAGAAAAGGAAAAATCATTAAGAAATAAAATGCAATGTATGATAACATGTTAACATCACGTAATGTTGCTTAAATTTGTACTGTTAGGTTTCTCAGCTGGTTAATGAGGAAATGTTTCAGAAGTATGTTGTATTACGCAGAAAGAAAGGTGACACTGGTCATTTTTGTTTTGTGATTTAGCTGCTTTCTTTCACCTAGTAAGCAAATACATGTGGCCTTTTCTTACCATTTTCCTTTTTGGTCGTAGAGGTTGCTGTTGATAAAACAAAATCATTTTGCCCAATGGTTGGCTGTGATGGAATATGCAGTGGAATTCCTGGCGTCTCAGAGCCTACAACCTGCCAAGAGGTAATAACTTCACAGAAGGGAAATTCCGTTAAGCTTTACAGCAAAATTTTGAGTACTCACTCATCACTGCAGGTCTTCATCAGGTGTTGGTTGTGATTGGGTGTGTGGAAGTATTAACAGCAAGTAACATGGCAGTTAGAATTGTTATATTTAATTCTTAGATGGTCAACATCAATTATCCTCATTTTTTTGTTTTAGAATAATATGTTCCCTTAGTTTTCAGCCATTTTACCAATCAACTGTTTTGTTGTCTGAGCATAGGCATCTACAGTAGAACCCAGGTAACTCGAACTCTGAAGGGAAACAAGAAACAGTTCGAATTAGCAGGGAATTCGAGTTATTGGGGTAAATTTTGGTGAAATTTTGATCAAGGGAAAGGAAATTTAGTTTGAGTTAGTGGGGAATTCAAGTTATTGGAGTTTGAGTTATGGGGGCTCTATTGTATTGTTTTGGAAGACCATTTGTCTTTGGAGCCCAGCGATCAGAGTTTAACCAGTGGAGGAAGTGGTCAATAAATTTATCCTTGAATTGAAATATAACATAAACTTAACCTTCTCCTAATGCAGATTTTGTCAGATCTTTTCATGAGCTCAATTTGAATCAGCTGAGATACACCCTTTTTACCTGTAAATGTATGCTATTATAGTCATTTTTTGGTTTTGTTTTTTCAGTGTGGTTATACTTTCTGCTTTGACTGTAAAGAAAGCTGGCATATTGGTATGACATGCAAAGAGTACAAGGAAGTGATTTCTGACTCGGCCTCAGGAGTAAGGTGGGCAATAGAAATAAAAAATTCAGACATTTTGTTGCTAATTTGCACATTACACAAATTTGCAAATCTTTGTTTTACTCTACTACGAACATTTTGTACATCAGAAAGTTTCTAAATTTTCAGACAGCAAAGATCCTTTCCATGCATTTGTTACCTCACAGCTTGATAATAAAAACTTCTTGCTTTATGGTCTCCCCAGGACTTATTACAGTGTCTGCAATATGTTTTGAATTCTGCAGCTAGGCATCACCATGTCAAGAAAATCAGATTATGTTACGCCACTGCTTTTTCAGTTACATTTGCTGCCTGTTGAGCAGTGTATTGAATTTTAAGTGTTGCATTTAACATACAAGGCGATGCAAGGTTTGGCTCTTCCATACTTAAGTGATCTCCTAGAGCCTTACTCTCCATTGCATAGTTTGCGATCTGCTTCAAAACTGTTTCCTAAGTAGCCTACGAACAGCAGACGCATTTCCGGTTGTCGCTTCTCTCCCTCCGAAAATTGGCGACGCTATTTTTCGGAGGGAGAGAAGCAACGTCCAGAAATGCATGTGCTGTTCGCAGGCTTTTTCCTAAGTAGCCCTCATTTAATCTGAGAACGTAATTATTTCGGTTTGTGCACAAAGACTTTGGAAGTTGCAGCCTTTTTACATTAAATCAAGCCCTTCTGTTGACACTTTAAAGAAAAGACTACAGACATCTCTTTTTACGAAAGCTTTTCATTGAATCATTTATTAATTTTGGTGAACGTGAACTTTGCGATGATAGGTTTTACTTTATATTACTAATATTATTACTATTATTATTTTAAAAATGTAGCAATAGGTCTCTTTGGGGCAAGGCATGTACAGTCTTTGTGTATTAATGAGACATATTCTTGTAACTATTGGTTCCTTGTAGAAAATGTGGCGTCCTTTTTGGTCCCCTCAGATTGTTACATCAATATCAATATAATCATCAAGAGAGAGTGAAACTAACAAAATACTAACTTGTTGCTATTTTGACAGATTTGTTGATATCTTAAAAGAAAGTGGGGAAATGGGAGATTTGAAAGAATGTCCACTGTGTCAAGTTTTGATTATGAGAGAAGCTGGATGTGCTCAGATGATGTGTGGCCACTGCAAGCACATCTTCTGTTGGCACTGCCTCAAGTCTCTTGATGTAAGTACAATAGCCAAAACGTAATATTTTCAAAAATGAAAAGGACTAGCTAGTCTCCTCTCCAACTACTATCTGAAAGTAATGATCATGAGGACTAAAGAGAGTCTGGCAAAAGAAGAACAGAGAAGCAAAAATTAAAGGCAAACAACAACAACAACTAGAACAAACGCTTGCTCAGAAACATTTGTCGAGCGCACATGCTCCTAAACATAAAACAATAGGTTTAATTTGTTCCAGAGAAAAAAAAAATGTAGCTGGGAAATGGCCATGGTTGCCCCCAAAGGGCATTGTTAGTGTTCCTAGGGAATAACTTAATTAGCCCGGAAGGTTCCCATGCCTTTTTGCTGGCTGGCAAGAAAAATGCAGGTCACAGGTCATAAGTCAGGTAAAAATTCAGGTCATCATGCTACGGTAAATAAACAACACTAAAAGAGTCTCCTTGCCCAACCTCAATACAAAATAGAGTTTTAGCTTGATGGTAAAACTCCTTATCTCAGTTATTTATCAATGAATGCACATAGATCAGTGACCTGCACTTGTGGCCTGTGTTTTGTACGTACCTGCGAAGTCAATAAGTTAACAATATGTTTGAAGTATATATGTTTTCTTTTACCAGAGTGATATTATGCTGAGACATTATGACAAGGGTCCTTGTAGAAACAAGTTAGGCCATTCACGAGCTTCACTCTTTCTCCACAGAACACAGGTTAGTTAAAGGCCCAGCAGTCACTATTCTTGTTATTAATAAATTTGGGGGCAAACCTCACCACCACTTCCACCAAGGGTGTTGGTTGAAGCCTCCTCCTATCTAATGAACTAAAATGTTATCAGTAGCTTTCAATAATACGGATTTTATTTTTTTTCTAGCTTAATGCCTATACCTTTATTTGATAGGCAGCAATGCAGCAAACTTGTAGTCCTTTTGACTCAGAGTTGTAAGCAACAAGGTGGTACATGGTTTGTATGCATAGTTACTTACATGTACCACTCTTTTTTGCTAACTTAGAGAAACTTCAATTTTTACCATAACTGAGTGATTTCTCTCACACTGATTGGTCGAGGGCTATGTTCAATAACAGTACAGTTCTCCCCTATTACTCAAGATTCTGAGAAACTTCAATGGAAATGGACATAAAAACTGTCAATGAATGTTATTGTAAAAAACAAATCGACAACAATTTTCCATGGTGTGTACCCTTATCCACCATAGAAATGGCATCAAAATGTTCAAAACTTTGCCGTGAAACCACTCGCCTGCAGCTCCTGGTTCCACTTGAGTTTTGAACATTTTGACATCATTTCTGTGGTCGATAAGAGTACAGACAATGGAAAATTGTTGTTGATTTGTTAAATAGAAAACAGTTTAATCATTGAAATATGTAAATCATAATTTTGAGTGAACTGTTTTTGTTTCAGGTTGTTGCTGGATTTGCTTTCTTTGGATTAATGGTTTTAGTGGCATCCCCATTTCTACTATTAATTTCACCATGTTTGTTGCTGTCAAAGTGTTTGTTGCGCAAGTAATGATTTATTACATAGGAGCCGGGAATTCCAGGAAAAAATAATTTTCAGTGAAAAAAGTAGGAAAGAATTTCTTAAAGGAATAATTTGGCTCTTTTATAAACTAGTAAACTCCCCCAGCAAAAGGTTCAAGGTTCAAAAAAAGAATAATAGCTCATGGATTTGAACTCGGCTTATTAAAATCCTTTCACTCCCAAAGTAAATTAAGTAAGGTATTGGAATATGGCGTTACTATCATATTTGAATCTAAGGAGAAAACTCCTTGATGTTATTGTACTAAAAAGAGTTCACATGGAACTCAGGCTTGTGCTACTTTTCTATTATTACCATGAACTTTTTATTGTGAAACTATACTCTACTCATGATTATAGAAGTCGTCCTTTGCTTATGCTTAAGTCTTGTGGTGTAGGTTACTATTCCTGTAATTAGCTTAACAACTTAACAACTGTTATTATTTGTTTCCCTCAGTCCCCAAAATGCAATTTGAATTTGTCTTCAATTTCCTTTTGAATAACTTTTGGGAGTGAAAAGATTAAAGAAATTATTTATTTGGTTATCCAAACTAGGAAAGCTTTCTTAAAACTAATTTTTAAATTAAGGTTGATGCCTTGTGTGCAAGAAAGACACTACTTGCAGTTCTGTATGTAAAGGAAAGGTCCAGGAAGGGGGGGGGGATCTTTTCTAAATACACCCATGTGGCTAATTATAGACTTTTTATAACTAAGTTATCCGAAACTTAGAACTTAAGGATTGTTAAGGTCTGCATATTAAAAAAAACACCCCCCACCCCTGGGAAGGCTACTTTGAAAAAGACGTTGTTAAACTGTCCAAGAGAAGTTGGGTTTCTGGTGAAGTTCTGTTACTTATTACACAGCTGCATTTCTTTTCAAGTGATGTGAATGACTTATACACTTCCATAAAATTGTTTTTGACTCTTGCTACAAACTTATTGTTTTCAAGTGTACTACTTTTCGCCTTAGTCTGCACACTGGTAGCAAATGAATTTCTTGAAAACTGTAATGACGTAATAGCCCTTTTCCTAAAACTTCAATTTTGGTACACAGCATTCCGAACTGATATAGATGTTCTAACAAGTCAGTACCCAATAGTCTTGTCTAAATTGGCCTTCAGCTTTAGATGGTTCTCCAAGTAGTGAAATACCATAAACATAAGCAACATTGCTAGCTCAAAAAGGGCAATTATGATTTTATAAATCCAGCACTATAAATTAAATTATATTTCTGTTAGACAGAAAAAAAAACAGGGCAGTAAGGTTTATGTCAGGTGTAAATTAAGTATGCCTGATATAAATGGGGAACATGAGGGATTTTACATCTTAATAAATCCTAAGCTAGCTGAGACAAGGTTATCTCAGTGTAATATCATTGTAAAATTATTAGTTATTATTAATGAAGAAATAAGACTGCTGTTTCTGTTTAAAGAAGTCAAAGACAACTTAAAGTTTTAAATAAAATCTCAAATATTGAAATTTTCAGTTGTGTTTTCTTGATGTTTTTGATCTGAGGGAGCCTGTCAAAAAATTATGTTTAAGTTCAAGTTCAAGTTCATTTTATTCCCTCTTATTCATATGCATAATTACGGTAGACTTGTTTTCAAAAAAAGAAAGAGATCAGAGAGCATCACTTTATTGTGCATAACATTGCAACATCTAAGGTGGCAGCAGCTTGAAGGGAGGTAATAAAGACCACTTTTGTGGTCCAAAAGGCTTTAATCCTGATAACGATTCCTCCCCATTAAAAAGGTGTTGGTCTTGAAACCAGGGCTCATACTAAAAATTGCAACCAGTTTTCAAGGACAACATCAAATTTTCAAGGACCAACTACCAGAGGAAAGTAATTTCTCATAATTATAATTCCCAGTCTTAGCCAATAGAATTTTAAGGCCTCAAGTGTTTGTCCCATCTCCTTTTCTACGTTTTTCTTTCTTAGTCAATATCAACAAGCATTAAAACAACACAGGGGCACCCAACGGCAATTTTGGGGAAAATATCTGTTCGGAAGACGATTTGTGATCGAGAATTTTCGGAGCATTTGTTGTAAAATTTCTTGCTTGCCTGCCACTCCTAGGATTTTCGAACATGGTCAAAATGGTATAATTACCCATTTTTAAGACTTTTAACGGTTTTTGACCCTAAAAAAGGCCACCTAGAATTTTCGGAAGCCTTTTCCTGGCTGAAGTTTTCGAGAAGGTAAGTTTTTATCCCTATAATTTTCGGATCACTAGACTTTCAGCTAGGAAATCCGAACAGATGAAAAGTTTTTAGGGGATAAAAATATGCCTATATCTACTGTTTGAATACTAAACTACGTTCAACAATGCTATGTTAAGTGGTTTTGAACTTTATCCTCGTTGGGTGCCCCTGACAACACTTTCCTAGCATTATTTGCCGAAGAAGCCAACGAAACATGGAACTCGTAGATAGTGCATGTAGCATGCACAGGGACACACACAAACGCTGGAAAATCTACGTTTGACTGACTTTTGAATTTCGATTACTTTGCTTCCGTAGTTACTAAAACATGGAACGACCTAAAACCACCTAAAACCATCTACAACCACCTCAAAAAATTCAACAACCACCTACAACCACCTCAAAAACATCTACAACCACCCGCAAACAATCTAAAACCATGTAAAACAAGGTATAAATGTCTGAAATAAGGCGAGACGACAACATGTCACGAACATGAAATACGAGAATCGAACAAAACATCCACTTCCCCCTAAAATCTTACTCTCCCTGGTCCCTAGCCTGCGTGCAGACGATAACTAAGCTCTGATTAGTACCGTGAGACCGCTGTGAGACCACGCTGATTAGGCTGACCGAAACATGGAGAGCTGAACTAGACAGCAAGAAAATTGTCGGCATATTGTCTTCGGATATGAGCAAGGCTTTTGACTCTCTGAGCCCTCAGTTGCTCATAAATAAACTGCAAGCCTACAATTTCTCCGATAAAGCCATACAGCTCATACGATCATATTTTCAGGGAAGAAAGAACAGAGTAAGGATAGGTCAGGCCCGGCCAGGGGGGGTAGTGGGATACCAATATACCCACTATTTTGCCCCCAAGATACCAATATACCTCAAAATCGTAAAATGTGTGATACTAAATACCTAAAATTATTTTGAAACAGAATACTAAATACCTGAAAATGAACAGAGTTTAAAAGTGTTGACCGGCCTGCACGACTCCTGCAATTCCCAAATAGATTGGTCTTAAAACCTTTATATTTTTTTCTTACTTGAGTGTCTTTTAGGGATTTTCCTTTGCGATATGAAACGAGGGGAGGCTCCTTTAAGATGTTCCTTAGGTATGGTTGGTTCTGTATAAGGTGCTATTTCCAGATGAGTATGTTCTTGAGGTTGGGCAACGCAGGATGGTATTTCGTTACAAAGGGCATGAAAGGGTAGTATTTTCTTTCGTGCATTTTTGTGTCTCTGTTCCAGTGATTTCTTTCTGTTTGCGAAAAAGACCTCTGAGAGATGTTTTTCTGCAGTTGTAGCTGGGTAATCTCTATTCTTTAGGTGTGTTGAAAAAAATTCCTCATGTTCCCTTCAAAAGTGATTTCAGAGGAATTTGTTCTTAGAAGCCTTAAAGCTTCCCCTTTGATGAAGCCTTTTGTGACGCCTGGTGTGTGACACGAATAGAAATTTGTGTGTTGGAATTTCCCTGTAGGGTTGAAGTGTGTTCGCACCTCAAGGATAGAATCCTTGTTGAATCTGACACCATTGTACACTTTCGAGTTCAAAAATGTAGTTTCTGTTTCTGATATTTCAGCCCTGAATTTGATTGTAGGATGGAAGTTGTTTGCCTTTGGAAGGAATTCTTCTATTTCGTTTCTGCTTGTGTCCCATACTGATATGATGTCATCGATAAACCTTTCCAAAAGATGGGCTTAATGCTGCTCTGTCTGAGTATTTCTTTTTCTTTTTTGGCCCTGAAGATGTTAGCAAAGGCTACGGCCATTTTCGTGCCCATGGCTGTTCCATGGGTTTGAAGATAATCTTTCTAGATCTCGTTAAATTGGAACGAGTTTTCTAGTACTATCAGACTGGGCATTTCGCTTAAAAACCTGGTAGGCACTAGAGGGTTTCCTTGGTGAAATTCTTCTTATGCATAGCATACAGTAGTAAAACCCTCTCGTTGTGGTATGTTTGTGTATAGGCTTGTAACGTCCATTGAAACAAGTATGGCACTTTTAGGCAGTTTAATCCTCTCGATGAAGTAAATAAAGTCTGTCGTATCTTTAAGATACGAAGCTTGGAGTTGTGCTATTGGCTGAATAAGGTGGTCAACAAATGCTGAGATCTGCTCTGTAGGTCCGGAACACCCTGAGATGATAGGTCTTCCGACAGGTGTCGGTTTGTGGATTTTAGTAAGTGTGTGAAACACTGGGATTCGCGGAGGATCAGACGTAAGGGAGAACCATTTAGCCGTCGTTTTATCAATGTGGCCTTCTGAGAGCAGTGTTTTAATGTTGTTGAGCTTTTTCGGTTGTAGTTTCAACCATTGGTTTGTCTAGAGGTCGGTAGTTATTTAAATCATTAAGCAGAACCTGACCTTCGTTTAGTTTGTCTTGTCTGCGCATCAATACGGTAGTGTTACCTTTATCAGATTTCTTAAGAATAATGCTTTTGTTGGGCGATAACTCTTTGAGAGTTTGGCGCTCTCCCGTAGATATATTATTTTTTGGCTTGTCAAATTCTATAATTGCGAGCTCTAATTTTACCTCCCCTAGGAAGGTCTCCGATTTACAGATAGCTGGACTGGTGATTCCCAGTCCGATTTAACGTGAGAAGGATGAGGTTCGTTTTGCAATTGGGGAGGTGGTGGGGGTGGGGGACTGGGATAGGAAGCCAAACAGTAACAATTTCGAGCATCCGCACGATTTTTAGTGAGCATTAGAGCGATAATAAAACTGAGAAATGAATTGTACGTGTGATGTCTGTACCATATACCGAATACCTAAAATTCAGGAAAAACTGAATACTTTATACCCGAATTTTGACCAAAAAATACCATATACCTGAATTAAAATGGCCCGGGATACCGTATACCCAAAACCCCTGGCCGGGCCTGATAGGTTCTGTAACAAGTGACTGGGTTGTGGTGAAGAGAGGATGTCCACAGGGAAGTACGTTTGGACCACTCATGTGGAATATTTTCCAGAACGATATGCCTAGCATAATATCAGATGCCAATGTCTCGATGTATGCGGATGACCATCAGGTCTTTGTAGCAAACGAAACAACCAAAAGCGTGGAGAAGATACTGGTGGACAATGGAGAGAGGATGACTAAATGGTATCAAGATAATCTTTTAAAAGTCAATTGCGATAAATATCAAGCCATGGTTTTGGGAAATCCAAAAGGAGAAAGGAACGTTGATCTGGATATATGTGGCGAAAAAGTCGAACAGTCACAATCCATCAAGATCCTAGGTGTAAACCTAGATGAAAACCTAAACTTTAGAGATCATATACGTAGTGTGTGTAAGAAAGTTGGCGGGATGATCGGAATATTAAGAAGGCTTAAAAATCTTATGCCTGTAAATGCCAAGTTACTTTTGTACAAATCAGCTATTATGCCACCCCTTACTTATTGCCACCTAGTGTGGCATTTTTGCACGGCATCTGATAGTCGTAAATTGGAGCGTCTACAAGAAAGAGCCTTAAGATTAGTGTATAATACTACTACCGAAAGTTATGACACCTTGCTGAAAAGAGCTAAGTTGACTACTTTACAAAATAGGAGGTTGCAGGATATACTCATTTTGATGTTTAAAGTAAAAAACAAATTAACAGTGAACCAAGTTGCGGATATTTTTAATATCAACGAGGAGAATATTAATAGTAAGAGATATAACCTAAGAAATGCAGATTTTGTCTTACCTCGGTTTAAAACTGTTACTTATGGAAAACATTCTCTCAGATTTCTCGGACCACAATTATGGTCTAAACTAAGCAAGGAGGAGAGAAATATTGCAACTTTGGCTACTTTTAGGACAATGATACGTAAGAAGGATGTAACATCATTTCTTGAGGGATGTGGGAGTGAATGCCGCTTATGCTTAGATTAAGAGGACGTACGCATATTTACTTATTCATTTTAGTGTCCGAGCTAATATACGCATTTAGTTTTTATATTGTAAATTTTCGAACTTAGCTTCGAAGTGTTAAATCTAGAACTTAGTTTTTAGAGTGTAAAAGAGCACTTAGCTTGAATAGTGTCAATTTCCGGCCTTTATAGTACTTAATTAGTTTCTATTAATGATGTAATTTAGTTTTAAAGGTGTCCCCAATTAGTGCCAATAGGCACTAGAACGACAAGACACTTTAATAAAGGTTATGTATGTATGTATGTATGTCTGCGAAACAGCGCAGAGATCCTTGTTCTGGACCCCCAACGGACTCAACGAATTACCGGAAGTGCGTTTCGAATTCCCCTTCAACCTGATTGGCGATCACGACAAACAAAACAATGGGCTTTTTTAACTGACCAATCGTGGCGCGTACTCAAATCTGGGTACACAGCTGGATGTCCAGAACAAGGATTTCGGCGCTGTTTCGCGGACGGAGTTGTGCTCAATCGGAGTCTGCGCGCAGGCTACCTTGTATCATCAACCATTGGCTTAATCACGAAATGAAATGCGAGATCATGCTATAAAGTACATATTAAAAGACTTAAAGAACTTTACAAAATGAACTATCAAGTCACAAAAAATAATAAAATAAAATAACAAACTCGTAGTCGAAAGACTGACTTGATTTGGCTTTTTCTACCCTGGGTACCAGTGAGACGTTTTGGTTCACGTTTCATTTGTTTACGCAATGGCACAAGGTAGGGTTTGTCTCTCTCTGGGAGTCTGCTTCACTGCTGTTTTGTTCTGAGGTGGCGGATTACATTCCTAAGAACAAGTTAATTTTTTTAGCATCTCATCCTCCAAACATGTTTGTACATTCCAGGTGACTCCTTTAGATGAACCCTAGTGTCTTTCACACCCGTTTCCTGTGTCATCACGCAAGGCGGGTAGTACTTGGTGTAAGACTGCCCAAAATGTCCCGGGCCACCGCCCACCACTGTTAGTGCTGTAGTGGCTGTGCTCTAGTAGACGCACCAAGTACTACACAGGAAACGGAGACTAGTAGGTGTAATCATTGTTAAAAATGTTAGTTAAAAAAATCTATAATGCAATGTATTCAGAAGAAAACAAGTTAAGACGAGGCGAAATTAATAAAAATGGGTTGAAAAATTTTAATAGAGAATGATTGCATTTAAAGTAATTTACCTGTATTTTTATATACCTTTATTATGTTTTGGAACCCAACTTTCACCCCGGCCCTCTTCTTGGGAGTGATGGGATATGCGCGCTTCTTATTTCCGCGTGGCTCGTTGTAAATACGTCCCCACTATACTATTTGCGAGCCTGGCACAGGCTAGAGTAGCTGGAACTTTACGAACTAAAACGGAACGAAAAATTTGCGTCCCCACTATACTATCTGAGAGCCTGGCACAGGCTAGAGTAGCTGGAACTTTACGAGCTAAAACGGAACGAAAAATTTGGATCACATATTCGGGTCTTCCCTCCCCGCCAAGGGACGTTACTGGTAAGAACGTTTTGATTCATTTTGCTGAAAAGAATTATCAAATATCATTATATAATGTTTTCTAATTCTTGCAACTGTAAACGGGTTAATAGCTGTATAAAATCCACTATTTCAGACATTTATATCCTGTTTTAGATGGTTTGCCAGTGGCTGTAGATGTTTTTGAGGTGGTTGTAGATGGTTCAGTGAATTTTTTGAGGTGGTTGTAGGTGGTTTTAGGTGGTTGTAGATGGTTTTAGGTCGTTCCATGTTTTAGTAACTACGACTCTGCTTCTCATTTTCTCTTCATAAACTCCTTTTACAGTGTTTAAAGTTGCTTACCAAGGAAACGAATACCAAAGTCTAAGAAAAGCAATTTGCTTTCGACCCCACTATACATTCAAAGTTCAAGAAAATTCAAGTACTTTTTAAGGACTTACAAAGAAATTAAGTACTTTTCAAGGAAAAAGAAATTCAGGGAATTTTCAAGACTGGGCAAACCCTGGAAACTCATGATCATTATTTTGTAACTGCTCCTTTTCATTCATCACCTTTGGTAATGAAATGAGCACAGTGACCCCGCGTTTTTATTGCTGTCCTTGAGAAAAAACTCTGTATAGTAGAAGTTGTACGTTTCAAAATATAAATGACGTGAAACTCTATATGTGCAGCCACAGAAGAGAATAGGGAGCTTTAACATCAACGAGGGCAAAGACAGCGAAAACGTCACGTATAAAATGAATTCCCGTTTTTCCAAACTTTGTGGCGTATATTCTAATCTGCTGAAAATGGCAAATTTTGGCGAATTTCCCTGGAGTTGATTCTTGAGGAGCGCACTCAGGTTTAGAGAGAGAAAAAGAAATTCGTCGTCGCTTGTTTATGTCCTCCACAAAACTTGCAATTTATAGGCATTTTCACGTCGTAGTCGTGCAAGGAAGGTAAAAAAATGTACAAAAATGTGATGCAAGTTGTTGTTTTGCGTAATAAACCGATTGATTTTTTAACGTCCTCGTTGCCGTTGCTAAAGTTCCCTAATGAGATGATGGTGATTCTATCTTTTAAATGCATTTTTCCAATATCCTTGAGCCAGTTCGAAATTGTGGATAGAACATCCTTTTCAATGGAATTACCTCAAAGTGAGATGTGCATAGTGGGCAACGGAGTAAAGCTTTGAAGTTGACTACTACTGCGGCCCATATTATCAGAGAGAGGAGCAAACGGACATAAAAAGAAATTCTGACTTTATGTTTATGAGTCATAAACACACTTTCCTGTGGTAACATCCTTTTATTTTACTGTGTAAGGTAAAGATATTGAGCAGTACATTGTTTGGTCGTTTTTATGCAGTATAAATTTACCTGGTTCAAACAATCATTTTCAAGAATGTGGTACGGTAGGAGAAATGTATCAAGATGAAACTGTTTACACTGAAGTGTGGTCTTAACTTTAAGAGTGTGGATTATGTTTAAATACTGCTCGTTTGAGTATTTTACATGGTATTCATGACGGTTTCCACGAAATGAGCTTGTGTAATAAAAACCATACATGAAAAAAAATACGCTTTCGACAACTTTTGAGATGCTCTATATCAAAGATGGAACTAAGATGTTAAATTCATTAAACGCTTGATCACTTTATTATATTAAAACAAATTAATAATTATTCACTGTAGTAAAAAGACCGAGAGAAAAACTAACTACACCTCTAGCTTTGGGTAAGATAAGCATATATTGTACACAATAATGTTAAAACACATAGTCTCTACACAGTAAGGTGTCAAATAATAACAATTACTCAAGCCAAATACAAAATGCCTGGTTATGTAAAAGCAGCTGCACTATTTTTGTAGACCTTAACATGCGTTTAAAAAAAACAAGAGTCTGTGCAGCAGATGAAAACAATGTCAATTCTTTACAGTATCACATGTTTTTACAACTTGCAATGTTCTGTGCAAATGTAGCATGTTCCAAAGATACAATACACGTACAATATATGTTATGCTATGAGAACGAACAAAATCATAGAAAAGGCACTGTGTAAAAATTGGCAAAAGTAATTTTGTCAAAGTAGTATAAAGCAAAAGTAGTTTAAAAAACCTAGCATTTACAAGGATGGTAGAAATTAAGTAATTGGAATGCACACTATGAAAAAATAAAGTGCTGCCTGAAATCATTGTCCAATGTCACCACTCTGTCAAATCTACAAATGAAACCTAATAAAGAAAGCACTTGCCGGCAAGTCTATATTAAGTACCTTCTGAAAGTCACCTGTCAAAATTTACAAGCCGAACCTACGTCCTTATCCATTTCTACAAAACATAATTCGCTCATAGAAAAAAGAAACATAACATACAACTGCATATTTTCCCCAGCGACTTGAAGTTATAATGACAGCCCTAAAAGTTAAGCATGAAATGTCCTTACCCAGAGTAACTCTACAAAGTTCTTTAAACATTTGCAGAAATAAGTTAAAAGCCTGCAAAGATTTCAGAAACTTGGAAAGATCAGATCCTTCAATTTCCTTTGAAGTAAAAATATTAACACCAATGGAAAATGTTCCTGTTCTATTTGACCACTTGGATGCTCTTGACAGTACACAGTTTTCAAGAGAAGATTAAAAAAAAAAAATTCATGTACATAAAATTTTAACAGAGGAAAAACTCTTAAAACAAAGTTGTCTATTGGTAAAATAATACAGAAAACTTGCCTATCAGACTTTGGTAATATAAACAGTAAAAAGAATCCTTATTTTACATAAGATTCCATGGTAACTTGATGGTGGATTCCTTTCACAATGTTTGTAGTTTTCATGATATTATCTGAAAGAAACAGAAAAAGTATTGTTTTTACATGATTGTTTCAAATTAATGTATACATTTCCTTTCAATGTTTGCTTATTCAAATGCAGTCTAATCACAACAGCAACAAGACTTGCAAAACAACACCTTCATTGAGTATCTTGAATGTGAATGATGGTATTTTGCATTAGTATTCCTCTATTGTTGGAGAGAAGACACTACACGAACCAAACTACAGTGGAACAGGCGGACACTGTCAGGACATGAAAAACGTGCATAACTGGAGCTAGCCGCTTACAGGGGTGTAAAAATACAGAGTTTGAATGGCAGTTGAGAGAAAAAGGGTTTTGTGATGGGGGCAACAAGTAGAGCCGTCCGCTTACAAGAGTGTCTGTTAGAAGAGTTTCTACTGTACACCAAAGTCTAGCTGTTTGCAGAGGGAAGGCACTACCTTCTTCCCTATCCCAAGTATTAGTCCTACCACCCTGGGGATCAAACCCAGGGGATTCCACTCTGCAGACCAGTGCTCTACTAACTTAACTAATAAAACAGTTTGAGGGAATCACTTGATGGTGAAGGGTAATAATTTGTGAAAAGAAAAGACAAACAAACAAACCAAAATAAAATCAAAAATTAATAACAATGCCAGATTGTTTGTTTCCAATAATTTATTTTAGCTATTAATCTTAACCTTCCCTTTGTATAATCCTTTCCTCAAATAACCAATGATAAAAACAGAAAGAATACATTCTCTTGATTAACGGTTGAGAAACAAAAAAATCAAGCCCTTAAATCTCTGGCAAGGACAAACATTCTGCCTTTGACAACCTGATTACAAAAACATTGACTAATAAGTTAGGCTTACCTTTCTGACCGTTTCCTTGATGAAATCCTTTCTAGATGAGAGGTCATGTCCAGGAAACATGTCATAAACCTGAAAAATAACAAATAAATTTATTGAAAGGATGGTATAAGGCTAAGTTGTTTAGAA